GTCCCTGTCCCTGCACTCTGGGCGCCCGCAGGACGCTTAGTCACCTGCGCAGCATGGTCAGGATGTCGGTCATGCTCCGCACTCTCTGCAGGAGACTGTCCAGCCGGTGTGGCTCCTCCTTCAGAAACCGCACGGCCTCCACCTCTATGCGCAGGATGGCTCGCATCTTGTTTTGTAAGGTAGGGAATTCTCCTGCAGCCAAGAGCAGTGGGTGAGTTGCAGGAGAAAAAGTCAGAACAGCATGCCCCCATCCCGCACCTGACACCGGATAGGATACAGCGGGTGGGGTTCACCAGCCACAGCTCCGTTCACACATCTTCAGGTGGCAGAAGCGGGTCAGACACAGATGGGTTCAGAATGACCGTGGGTGAGGGCAGAGCTCCTCTGGGCCCCCTTTCCTGTCTGTATACGTGGGATCCAGTCAGCTATCCCTTAGGGTTGTCCTTAATGAATTTGGCACAGGTGCCTGGAGCATTGTAAGAGTCCAGTGAGGAGGAACTGTTATTATCACTCAGTCCTGAATCTTACAGCACCTACTATAATACAAGCTCCAGGAAGCCAGGCACGTCTGCCTATTTGGCTCAGTGCTGGGTCCCAAGCGCCCAGAGCAGTGCCTGACCCACGTGGGTATCTGGTGAATACTTGGGCGCATGAGGACATGAACGAGTGCACGAAGCCCTCGCCGTTTGACACTTTTGCTAACCCGGGGAAACACGCTTCAGACTTGTCCCTTCAAGGGGGAAGCTCACCTTTCAGGGAAGCTACAGCTTCTCCCACTTGCCGCAGGAGGAAAGCCCCATCTTCCACATCTTTCAGGGTAACCACTCGGCCAGCCGATGCGGAGTCCTTCTTCAGGTCTTCAACAAGGTCCTCCAGCTCACTGGGGGAGCGAGCAGACCACAGACGGGCGTGAACACCGAGTGGGGACAAGGACAGGTGCAGGGGCACAGGGCTCCCCTGGGCCTCCCCTGTGTACTGTGTCCCGGCCCACTTCGCTTCTACCAGGATGGTGGGAGCACATTTTAGAGCAGTAGCTTAGTTTGGCTTGAAAATACTCCGCTGAGGTGTGAAGCAGGTGTGAGCGAGTTTACCTAGGGCCTGTCTGCGGAGTGGCCCAGGGTGGCCACAGGGAAGATGGCAGCTGGCTGACAAAGGACCCACTCTTTATTTTTAGTGGCGCTGATGCACTTTGGGATATGCTGCGGTGGAGCAAAATGAGCCCCAGACCAGGTTTCTCAACCTTGGCACTTGACCTTTCGGACCAGATAATTCTCTGTAGTGGAGCCTGTGCTGTGCACTGGGGGTGTTTAGCAGCACCCCTGTTTCTGTGCACTAACTGCCAGTAGCACTTCCCCCCACCTTGTGACAAACAAGAATGTCTCCAGGCATTATTAAATGTCCCCAGGCGAGGGGAAGCGAACCTGCTCCTGATGGAACCTCTGGTTTATGCTGATTGTCCCATCAATAAGGATTGACTTTCCTTTCTAAGCTACAGAGAGAAGAAACGATCAGAGATCTGATTACACACACACACACACTCTCACACTCACACACGCTTGCATGCACACACCCCTTAGGGTACTGCCAGCTCCAAAAGAATTAAGTTAAGGTTTTTCACAAACAAACGACCACACAAACCTCCTGTCACCTGGGAACATAACTAACTCCATCCTAAACACACGTTTCTATCATTTCAGTTTTGCCTGTAAGTCGAACAGAAAAACCCCTCTAAAGAAATGAGGAAAGAACTTTGAGAGACGAAGAGCCACTAGGCGGCAGTGAGTGCACAGCTGTTCCCAGGCCGGAGTCCTGAGTCTGGAGCTGCAGCAGCAGGGAAAGGCCGGCAGTGTCCGCAGACGGCCTGCTAAGACCCTTCCCGCCAGGCGGCAAGTGGGTGAGGTTATGGATGGCATGGCAGCTGCGACGGTGATTCACACAGGATGTCGCATCCGTTCAACAAGGACCACAGGGCAAACAATTCAGCCACCTCTGAGAAGTGGGGTGAAGATTTTGCTGATATCTTTCATTCTATTATGGAAAATGGATCAAAGGGGACTATGATCCCTTTTGATAAAATGATGCAACTTCAGGACCGAAATGCAAAGCCATTTTCTCACTGTCCACATATGCAGACTATGGACAGGTACCCAGTTTATGTGGACCAGCTGGAATGTTCCTACAGCTCCTGCGTCCGAGGCCACCTCTCGTAAGAGTTCTAAGTATGTGTGGAAAAGTTCTTTTCCACGTCATAACCAAACATAATTATTTTTATGTGTAGTCTGGACATACTGTCCAGTCCTTCTAAGCTTTGATGGAAGAGCTCAGACCCAAATGTTGTCATGGTTCCATTAACAATCCTCCAGCTGGCCAGGTTGCAATTAATACTCTAAGGTGCAGTCATCTGACCCAAAGTCAGTCAGCCTAAAATCCTATCTGAATCTCTTCCACACGTGACTATTAGATTTCATAACTTTGCATACAGGAGACCCGTAGATGTCACAGTTTCCCCGTGTTGATCATGGAACATACACAGATATGTACTGATATTATTGTACACAACAGTGTCACTTCTCTTTATCTACTTCTATTATAGATAAAGCATGCTGATAAAATTTGTTCATTTAAAATGTAAAAAGAGACCAGGGAGCTAAAATGAATGCTAGAAATATATTTTTTAATATTATAGTAATCAATATGACTTCTGAGATGTAAACTCCGCTCAAAAGAATGTCAGGTGTTCACAGATGCTATGGTTTATAGGCAAGTCCATTCTATTTGTTAAAGTTGCTTTTCATTCTGCCTTGGTTAAAATAAGCATTAATTTGTTGAAATATATTTTATTTGACTGTTATCTGAAGGCCAATTATTATTTCCACATAGAAACCCACCAAAGATAAATTCTCTTGATCCAATTTCTCTTCATAGTTCTAGACCCAAATTTTATTTTTCTGCCATCTGAATGGCTCACCAGCAACTTACCCTAACATGATCCCCAAGGGAACTTATTTGTGTGTGTGTGTGTGTGTGTGTGTGTGTGTAAGGAGGGAGGCAGGGGAGGAGGAGGGTCAGGGAGAGGAGGAGAGTGGGAGGGACAAGGAAGGGAAAGGGGGGATATAATTGTTTTCCTAATGTTCCAGAGTTGAGATTTCCAGCCGTCTTTTGTAACCTGCTCTTTCTACCACTCTGATCCATCCAATCAGTCCCTTTTGCATTTGATTGATTTTTTCATTCCTATTTCTACTGCTTGATTCAGGTCTTATTGACTTTTGTCTGGGCCAATATGATTTCTTAGGTGCCAATTTCTTTCTCCCTCCCTCAGCCCTGTACATGACGGCCAGAGGGATCTCTCTGAAATATGGCTCTGCATCTGTTACTTCCTTGATCAAAAAAGCTTTAGCGATCTCCTCAGGCAGAAACTCTCAACTGTGAAGATGCTTCAAAATCTCCCCTGTATCTTTGTAAAATGCACATTCCTAAGCTCCATCCAGAGAAATTCGGAACCTGGGGTCGAACCCAGGAACTTTCATGGAAAGCCGGAGATCCAGTTATGTGACCTTCCAATCTCGGTAAACACAGAATGAACAGGCATGCTGGGCGTGAGCATGGTCTGATATGGGCAGGCACCATGCACACAGGAACAGCCCAGCCCAAATATGACACATGATTGGTATCTTGTACCCACCCTCTCCCAACAAGGACTACTCCAATTTTCCAAGGGTGTCCTGTGCTTTCCTGGTTCCAAGACTTGTTGGTTCGCAGGGTTCCTCTACCTGGGAGGACCCCCTGTCTAGCTTCCACTGATGAAATCCCACCTGTCTTCTAAATCATTTCAGTTCAGTTTAACAAATCTTTGTGAGGCCCTACTATGCACATGGTACTGCGCTTGGCCTGGCATATGAAGAAGAATAACTTATTGCAGGTTAAGTCTTCCTGGTTCCTGGGGCTTGAAGCAACCTCTCCTTTGTATAGGTTAACCTGGAACCTGTGAATCACCTGTTTTGTGCTATGTGCATACTCCTATGTTCTGCTTTGCCAGACTGAAGTTCCTCTAGTGCCCTGTGCACAACCTATTCATGTATGTCTGTCCCACAAAGCCACAGGTGAAGTTCTTTCACGATACGTTTGTTTCACTCCCCCTCACATCTCATTCCAATGCTGGCCTACTAGTCTCAGGATAATATTGAGATTAAAGATGTCTTATTTTAGTCAAGAAGCGAGAGTTATATCAGCTTACCAATAAATATAAATTTTAAAAGGAGGAAATTTACTTTTTCATAATTTATTTGGAAAATGTATAAAATATTATTTAAAGGCTATGTAATAAAAGGCTATATATTTTAAAAGAAAAATCCTGAGACCTAGTTTTAAACAACTGGGCTGTTACAAGAACATTCAAACAAATAATAACCTGATTGCCTTCTGGTGGGAGATTAACTATCTATAAATGCATGAACTAATTAAAATATTTTGAGGTATCAATAAAAAGTGGTCAAATTAATTTTTTGGAAAGTAATAACTAAAACTGATTTTTTTCTCTAGACTGCTACTGTGAGGAACATTCTATTTTAAAAAAAAATATATCTTTATTGATTTTGGAGAGAGAAAGGGAGAGGGAGAGAGAGAGACAGAAACATCAGTGATGAGAGAGTCATCATTGATCAGCTGCCTCCTGCACGCCCCCAACTGGGGATTGAGCCCGTAACCCAGGCATGTGCCCTCACCGGGAATTGAATCGCCATCTCCTGGATCCTAGGTCGATGCCCAATCACTGAGCCACGCCCAGCCGGGTGATTCTATTTTTAATCAGACCCACTGGGTTGGCATCTGGGGTGAGCTAAGCTATAGCCCAAATACCAAATAGGTGACAGAGAGAAGTATTTTCCATCATGGAGGCTTCTGGGGATTCAGGTCATGAAAATAATTTGGAAGTTGCTCCCTTACAATCCCAGTTTGGAAGGTTAAACTTTCCAAGAAACAAGAGAATTGCCAACACTAGAAGAACCGCAATAATTACTATTCATTACACTAAAAGGTGAAATAGTTCTATAATATATCTCCATTGCATAACAAAACACATATTAACATAAAAAATGTGCTTGCCCTAGTGACATCAGAGTAATAAAACTCCGCTTGTTTCAATGGAAGGACTTGATAGATGTTTTCAATAAGAACCTCACAGAAGACTGGGGACGTTCAAGGAAGTGTCTCTCATTCAGAATCAGGCATACTTTATGTTTAAATTCTTCTTTTGTGATTTTAACTACAGCTGAATAATAGGAAGATAATTTTAGCTGTGTTATTTTGACTATTAGTTTTAATTTATTGAGATTAAAGGCAGGCTTCCCATTCATCATTGGGTTTTGCCATTTGCTCCTTTTAATTCCGTGTTGCTGAGCCCTACAAAAGAGTGCGATGCTTCCACTTTTAAAGAGACCAGCTCAGTTACCTGAGGATTGCTGAATTTCTTGGGCCTGGGTGGAGGGGCGTTAGGTGTCCATGGATACTCAGAACCAGCAGAACTCTAACTTGTACATAGCAGGTGCTCAATAAAGGGGGAGGGAGAGAACACCATCTAGTAAGGGCCTCTTCCTTGGCAAAGTCAGGTTTCCTTTTCTGGTTAAAGAGTTAAAGACGTAACAAGTGACTGGTACTCACCACAGCTTCTTGACGATCTTCTCCTCTTCGTGCAGGTATTTCTGTCTCTCTTGCTCCACGAGGACACGCTGTCGTTGCACAGGATCCTCCAGTCTCTTCAACGTTTCAATCACTTTGCCACTGATTTCCAGCTCAGCCTTCTTCATCATGGCCCTCAGCAGCTCCTGGTTCTGCAGCTGTTGAACAAAGGAAATCACCCTCAATTGGCTCTGCCTGCCTCACACTGCAGAGAGTGCCTGGCAGCCTTCAGAGGAGGGTTAGGCTAAACAGCCGCAGCTGAGTCTTTCTTTTTTTATTTCCATGAAAAAGGGAAGGACCAAAGACTGTATATAATATTGCTTCTTCAGCCAACATCTGAATTTTAGCAGCCAACTGACACCCAGACTTCCACATCTGAATCTGCAAAAAAGAGGATCCTTTCCTTACTCTGGTCAATGCATCATGGATAATGGACATAAACTCTCACTGACATGTTTTTATAGGGAGCAGCCAAGAGCACCAGGTTTGGAGCCAAACAGATTTTGGATCAAACCCTAAACCCCGGCTATGTGAGATTCTGGGCATGTTAATTGGCCTGTCTTGGTCTCTGTTGCCTTATCTCTAAGGATGGGGATTCACTTCCCTTGGCAGGGTTATTCTGAGGATTAAATGAGATACTGCTTAGACTAGAACAGGTATAGCTACGAAATAGTTCAGGATATCTGTTAAAAGAAAATCAGGTGCCTCTTTTTTATATGGGATCATGTACCAAATACAGGGTAGTCCCAGATCATTAAAACATGGTGTTGATATTGATGGTGACAATGACAATGATTCCAGGTCAACCCAAGGCTCCTGGCAATTTACTTATTTCCCTGAATGATACAACAGGCTGCTTGCATGCATAAAACCACAATTTACATATAATTTTCCATATACTTTCTGGAGCACTCTTGTTTCTCACTGAAGAGTGTAGGATGTGTGAGTTTGCATCCAGGCTTCTGCAAGAATCTGTGTCAGTTTGCATCCAGGCTTCTGCAAGAATCTAGTTATAACACTTGAGACCTATTTCTAAGAAGGTGCTAAGTGTTCCCCCAGGCAGGACAATTTTCTGACAGCTCATCCGGCAAGTGAATTAATTCAACCAGCCTCAAAAACAGCAATTATATTATACCTAAAGTTCCCCTGAAATGTCAGTGAGCTTCTATTGTTTCTTCTGTTTTCTGGTCTTGCGGACTGTCCTACGACTACTGTATATCACCTCATAGGAGTGATGGTGTCTTTGTCAACTGTCCATTATCTGCAAATTGAGGGAAATGCCATCTGACCATGTTACCACCTGCTTGAAATCTCACTGTGGCTTCCATTTTCTCTGAATAAAGAGAAAACATGTCAACATGAGCCATGTAAGCAGAGCCACCACCACGTCCCAGCATCAGCACAGCCCTGTGATCAACTGGCTGTCCAGAGAGATGCTTGGGTTCAATTTCTAGTCTTAGCACTTAGCAGCAGTGGGACCACAGCCAANTGTCCCAGCATCAGCACAGCCCTGTGATCAACTGGCTGTCCAGAGAGACTGCCTGGGTTCAATTTCTAGTCTTAGCACTTAGCAGCAGTGGGACCACAGCCAAGTTATTAACCTCTCTATGTCCATCCATAAAAAGGAGTAGTGCCCTAGCCGGTTTTGCTCAGTGGTTAGAGCGTCGGCCTACGGACTGAGGAGTCCCAGGTTCGATTCCAGCCAAGGGCACGTACCTGGGTTGTAGGCTCGATCCCTGGCCCCGATCAGGGTGCGTGTGGGAGGCAACCAATCGATGTCTCTCTCTCACATCAGTGTTTATCTCTCTCTNTGTACCTTGGTTGTAGGCTCGATCCCTAGCCCCGGCTGGGGCACATGCGGGAGGCAACCAATCGATGTCTCTCTCTCTCTCTCCCCCTTCCACTCTCTCTGAAAAGCAATGGAAAAACTACTCTTAAGTGAGGGTTAAAAAAAAAAAAAAAAAGGGCTAGTAATAGCTTTCATCTCATAGGCTGGTAATGCACATTCAGAGAGGCAATACAGTGCTCACAGTAGTGCCTGGCACAACCCTAGCTCTCAGTACATACCAGCTACTGTTATCAGGGAGCATAACCCTGGGGCAGGTCCTGCGGTTTTGTCTGGGAAGGGATCAGATAAAAATGTGCCACTCTTGGGCTACCTCCCCTGTATGAATCATGATCATGCTCTCCTACTGCTTTGGCTAATAATGTCTTTTTATTGTGGTATTAAAAACAGTCAGCCAGTATACTGCTGAAAGTCACCATGTTTGGAGACAACGCACAGAGGGCAACTTCCTCCCGTAATCTCTGCAGCTACAGCTCTGCCCCAAGGTGCTGGGCAGGAAGGCCCTTTCTAATACGCCGACCGCCTCATGCTGCATATAGCTGGCACCCTCTCTGCTCTAGCCACGTAAACATCCTTTCAGTTTTTCTGGGTGGCCAAGCTCCTTTCTGCCACAGGGACTTTGTACGTGATATTCCTTCCAGCCGGTTAATTTTTGCTCTCCACAGAGTCTGCAGGACACAGTGCATGCACATAGCAGGCATTCAATAACTACGGGTTGAATGCATGAATTGAGTTAACAGCAATGTTGCTTAACGGACAACGAAGATCTAAAAACTCTTAGATGAAAGAAATATAGAGGGACCCATGGCTCAGACGTGGTGTGGGCTCAGTTCTAATGCCCTGCCTTGCCGTGGTTGTTAAATACACACAGCAATACTACTATCAAAATGGTATACTCAAATTCAATGCCATGTGTCAAATCCCAGAGCTATTTCCATTGGGTCTGGGGAATAAATGAAAATGGGCATGTAAAGGGACAAATAAGTAGATGATTAATTGTGTCAAAAAGTGACTGACGCCTGGGTCCACCCCGAGATTCTGGTCTGAGGTGCAGCTCGGCAATGAGAATTTTTAAAACTCCTTAGATGATTCTGATGTGCCATCAAGGGTGAGCACCGTGGTCTGAGAAAAGGGCCCTTGAATGAATAGATGATGTCACTGCGCCGTGAGCTGGGTGGCGCAGTCCTCTGCCCCTCTTGCATAAATCTTACAGGCGAGTTCCAGTAAAGTTACGGTCTAGTTAGCAGCGGACAGCAGCAGCGGCTATCAAGCTGGACATTACGGAAAGACTATTCAACATTCTTAAGGCCGAAACTGGAAAGATGGGAAAAGTGAAGCTCTGAGAGGTTAAAAGTTATTCAGAATCACGTGGGGGCAACCGCAAGGCAGAATCAGGATGAGGACTGGGATTTTTGAATTCAAAGCAGTAATCTTTCAGCCATCAGCCACTAGGCAGAGGCGCCAGGTAGCATGGCAGGGGGCGGGTCTGTTTCATTCCCAGGCACAAGCACAGTTTCCGGCACACGGTACGAGCCCAACGCATATTTGCTACATGACTGACTCTCAATGTTTCCGAGAAGCCTGCAGACATATCAGAACACAAATGCATGTAATATTCAAATTTTTCAACTGGTAACACGGTCAGATCATATTCAAATATACTACTCGAAGAGGAGGGGAGGCTGCATGACCCTCCTTCCCAGAAAAAGCGGTTTATGGAGCCAGCTAGAGGGACGACCCGGAGTTTTCAGCAGCACCTTGGCTGGCACGTGGGCAACAATGAGCGAGTCACGAAGGAGCACACCCTCCCCTAGTCGTGCCCACCCCACCCCACCCCGCTGGCGTCTTCTCGCCAAGGTCTCCAGGCCTCCACCCCAGTAGCGTGTGAAAAGGTGCCGAAGGCAGCACCTCTCTCTAAATGCTTCAAATAAATTAGTCATCAGCACTTCACGTCATTACGTTTATTTTGGCTTAGCAGTGATATCAACATTTCAATTAACTTAAAAAAACAAACTCATTTAAGGTATAGTTTACAAACAGTAAAATACAGATGCTCCTCAACTTACCGACTGGGTTAGGGCCTCGTAAACCCATCGTAAGTTGAAAATGCATTTAATGCACCTAGAGTACTGAACGTTGTAGCTTAGCCTAGTCTACCTAAAAGGTGTTTAGAACACGCGCATTGGCCGACAGTTGGGCAAAATCATGTAACACTACGGTTATGCTGTAGATTACCAGTTGTTTACCCTTGTGATCGCTTGCCCAGCATCACGAGAGGATCAGACCAAATACCACTAGCCTAGTAAAGATCAAAATTCAAAATCTGAAGTACAGTTTCTACTGAATGTGTATCGCTTGTACACCATGGTAAAGTTGAAAAACTGTAAGCTGAACCATGCTAAGTGGGGGATCATCTGTATGGCCATTTTAAGAGCACCGTCAATGAGTTTTGACAAACATATATACACCAAAGTAACCACTACTAAAAAGAGAAATAACTTTTTTTTTTATCACCCTAGAAAATTCCTTCATGACTCTTTGCAAACAATCCCATAACCTCCAGCCCAAGGAAACCACCAATCTGTTTTCTGTCCCTATGGATTTAGTTCTTCCTGTTCTAGAACGTCACAGAAATAGAATTATATGATATGAAATCTTTTGTGTCTGGCTTCTTTCCTTAAGTATACTGTTTTTGAGATCCAGCCACGCAGTTGTTTTAGCAGTTCATTCTTTTCAATGTGGAGTTCTTTCATTGTATGGGGAAATCCAGTGTATGATTTTGTACCTTGTGTGTACTAAAATTTTTATATTTTACTTACTGACTTGACGCTGGTGATTTTATCAAAATTCACTTTTCTTGATAATATTTAAAAAATAAATTCTATTTGATTTTATATGTATACAATCGGGTCATTTGAGAGTAAAGCCAAGTAGACTTGTTACTTTCCTCTCTGTACACTTATTCTTTCTTTTTCTAGCCTTAGTGTACGTGCCAGGATCTTCAGTGCAGCTTCAACAGAAGTGAGAGCAGCCTTCCAGGGCCATGGTCTTGATTTTATGGGGAATGTGTTTAGTGTTTTGCCACTAACTATAGGTTCTATAGTTTTTTTCAGACATCCTTTATCAGGTTAAGGAAGTTTCTTTCTTGCCCTTGAGTCATGAGTGTTTTTATCATCAGTATTGAATTCTGTCTTTCTTTGTGAGCATTTATTAAAATATGATTTTTCTCCTTTATTCTGTTAATAAGGTCAAATACATTGATTCATTTTTTCATATTAAAACAATGTTGCATTCTTGGGATAAAGCCAAAGA